GCCAGTTTCAGAGAGATGGTTACATGTTCACAGAGAACTAGTGGAAGAATATGACTACAAAAGGATGAGACTACATGTGAGCCAATAATTTGGTCACTTCAACAAGCTCTTTTTAGAATGGTTCCCTGTCATCCACCCACGGGTATCACTACCTCAGCTTCAAGGGACCCTCCTACATTGACCAGCTAAGGCAGCACACAAACCCACTGTGATGAAAAGGGAATTTGTTTTTTTTAATAGTCCTTTGGGTTTTATAGCAAAGTTACAATTATGCTGCACAATTTATTTATATGAACAGCCCAGCTACATTCCTTTATTAGGCTAAAATTCATTCAGAGAGTCAACAAATATTTACCTAATGCCTGCTAAGTGGCAGTCACTCCACATTTTCAAAAGATTGAATGAAACTCACACTATAATTTACATTTACCCAACTTAACATGTTTCCTTTCACATAATTCGCCATGAAGTCTTCCTATATCCATAACCTATGTTCACAACCCAAAGGCCACAGTCAAGTCTCATCAGTCCTATGCCCCATGTTACTTCACTCTGCCCCCTTGCTTCCCATCTGTGCTCCCACCACTTATATCCACGCCTTTGACTTACCACAACCTCCTAGTAGATCTTCATGACTTCATCTTTTCCCCTTCAACTCAAAATGACCAAAAAAAAAAAAAAACCATCAACCCATGAGTGTCAAATTCCCCAGTTCAAAATCCCTGAAAGGTTTGTAATTCTACAAATACCCAGTTCTAGATACCCTGTTGTCACCAGTCTTGAGCTCTTCCCTGAGTGAAAACCTGAAGGGCTTTGGTGAATGAGCCATGTGATATTAATATACACAGAAAGGCTTGTTACATGTCAGCATCCTCCTTCTCCCATAAACCTCTTATTCATCACTTCCCTCAGATCCTCTAGAGCTTAGGTGCTAGAGACAGCTGGCAAAGAATTAGAGTAGGTTTAGTTTCCATAAGCTGCAGAACTAAGCTTGGGCAAATGATAAAAGAATTGACTAAATTCTCAGGCTCTGCTTCACTTGGGTTGAAAAATAAGGATCAGACATTGACTTGTGAAGTATTACACATGTTCAGGGCAGCTTCTGTTTCCTACATACATCTAGAAACACCATACAATGAATTCTACAAATCAAAACCCTTTAGAAAGTAGTGACACACACCTTTAATCCTGGTGTTTAGGAGGCAGAAGCAAGTGGATCTCAGTGTTCAAGGCCAGCCTGGTCTACAGAGTAAGTTACAGGACAACCAGAGCTACACAGAGAAAACCTGTCTCAAGAAACAAAAACAAAACAAAACGAAAGCTCTATCTAAGATGGTGGAACCTAAAATCAGATCCTACATCTTGATATTGAAGACTATCTAGAGGCACCCACATCAAAACCAGCATCTTTATGATGCTATCTCTTTACTCACCGTGGCCTTTTAGCCTGGGAACTATATACATGTCAACATAGAAGTAACTAAGTATTGTTTTTATATAATGATATGCATATGAATAAAGAAAATACAAAAATCACAGCATTAATATATGACATCCATGGCTACACTTTAAGCATCTTATTGAAATGTATGATAACACAGAAAAGCACTACTTATATTTTGGTGGGTACTCATATGGTCCTTTTTGTAAATACAGTTTGTGTGTTTTTAGCAAAACAAGATTATATGTGGATATTTCTTATTTCCCATGTTTACATTTTAGTAATAATGTATTATGAACAATGATCATCATTCAAGCCAATATTCTTCTACAGTATCATTTTTAAAATGGCTTAATATTCCATTGTTCAACTCAGAAATACCCTAATCTACATTTGGACATTGACATTGTCTTCATGTTTCATTACTATAAGTAACACTGTAAGACATTTTTCATATGCGTCCATATTTCTAAGACTCTCGAGTTTTATAAAACTCTTAGAAAATATAGCATATTAATGATATCTTATACATATTTTTTCTGAGACTGACATTAAACAACTCTACAATCAATAGTGCTAGGAGAAATGATGTAGACTCACTACTTAGAACTTAAGTTTGTCAGAATGAACACGTCTCTGCCTCTGGTTTTAAACATATATCACTTGGTCACAATGGGAATATATGAGAGGCAAGCATAAGCCATTCAAACATCGCCACCTCTGTAAGATGAATAACTACAGATTTTAACCTGAGAACCCAGGTCTTAAGATCCAAAGGAACATGGGAGCGAGAGTACTATGGGAAGAGTTCATAGTAAGAGAATCAATCCAGCTCAATACTTCATCCATGTCAAGATTATAAAAGAAGAGTTTGGCGGACTGTGGAGATGGCTCAGCTGTGCAAACTGAAGGACTGGAGTTTAGATTCCCAGAACCCATTCAAATGGTGGCCTGGCTGACTGTAATCCCAGTATAGCAAGCTGCCCAGCTAGAATGGCTCCAGTCAGAAAACTCTGGGTTTAAGTGAGAAACTCTGTCTCAATGTTTAAGGTATAGAATAATTAAGGCAGACACCCAATGTCAACTTCTGGACTCTATTGCACTCCCACACACACATTTGAACACATATACACAGTCACACATATATCACACATACACATACACACACAAAAGGGGGGTTGTATTAGAAAATATGAGAACACATAAAAGGACACATTTTTTTCCCTTCTAAAGAAGGCTACCTTCTGAATCTCACAGTTGTGATCTCTAAGGGGACAGGAGATGGGGAGATTTGACTCCTCTCCCCAAGCCAGGTGACATGGCCTCACAGGCACCACTTGAAGAGCTTAATGTGTGCTCAGTGGCAGATGGCACACACTGAACTGGTAGTTGACACACTTTAGAAAGTCAATGTAGCTGGACACATCAGATTAAAAGGCTGTGTCTAGGAAGTAAATACACTCCCCTCCACTGACAGTTCAAATGTGTGTAAATCCCAGCGACCATATGTCGACACTGCCCACAACGGCAGCCTGCCGACTGCAGAGCCTTCCAGGACTGAGAGGCTGTGTGTATCACCCAGACAGAGAAGGAAAAGGAACCGAGACACTGGCTCAAACCAAAGAACAAGGCATAGAATCCACAAAAGTGCTCGGTGCTCATCCAGTATAACATTTGACCAAATCACTCTGAAACGTGTCCTCCTTGCCTCTCTCTCTTGCCACGTTTCAAATCCAAGGGGGTCAGAAAGCCTGAGCAAAGAGCTGGGGGAAAACTGAAAGTGGGGGGAAGAAATTCAGCTCTAACTCAGACTTGGAATACCTGGGAGCTAACAATATCAATTGACTTGAAACTGAATTTGCGAATTACAGTCACCTTAAAAATTATTTTTTCTCTGGGTTTCCAGGAACTCATGAGATTTAACTGACGTTCTATGCATGGTTGGAAAATAAGTTTTTTTCCGATTAAAAATGAGAAGGAACAATGGGAGACACAAAACAATGATGGCTTCTGATTTCATCCCAAGATTCTAGTCCATGTTATGTACACAGATAGTATTTCTGGAAATCGCATGGGTCAAGAATTGGGCTAAATTTTATATACATAAGTAAATTCTTACAAAACCATAATAGGTACTGTAACCATAATCGTTTTATAATTAAAGAAACTAAAATCCAAAAGCATAACTAAGATCACCACACATCTATTAAAGTCAAATGCAGATCTATTTGACTCCACAACTCGTGCTTTTGACTATTGCCATAGTAACTTATTGGTAAACACTTTGGTTTAAAAGGAACAATTCTTAGATTATGAGGTTTAGTTTACCGTACAATCACTAAAACTGAATATATTGCACATATCGGGGGAAAATGCCAAAATACAGTCTTTAAAAATCAAAATGGCAAGGAAAACACTTAAGTTTTTATTACTCAGGGCTCACAGCAGCTAAAAGGTTTCAGCAATATTATATGGCATACAAATTGCAGATTTAACTTGTCTGTGGAGCGTCCCCGTGCAATCACCATAATATTTTATTGTAGAATAACAGCACAGGTCCTGATCCCTAGCCCTTGGTAAACATGAGTAGCTGGAATCCATTGTTGCAAAAGCTTAACATCCCCCATGCATGGCCTCAGCCTGAAAGCGAGTTTTCTATGGCCTAACATCAGTAGAAACTTCTCTGCTGTAGATTTGACTTTTATGAATCAGGATTAACGGAATGAGCATACAGTGACCATCGTTATTAGGGAATGCTTTCATCAACTAAAGCTGCCTGAAGGAGAGAGGGTTAGCCAAACAGACCAGCTGGACGACTCTGCTAATTGTGACTTAATCCCAATTATAAAAGCACCTGTGTCACTTATCATGCATCTTAGTTCTGCCAACTATACCAAACAATACCAACCTCTGTGCAGAGACTGAGGCAGAGAAGGTTCAATTTTGTATGTCAGTGTCTACAGGGATTAGGATAATATAGTTTCATTTTTACCCTGGTCATTTCGAATAGGCCTTTCCAGAAATGCAATTCTACAGCACCATCTACTACGACGGCTCCTCATGGCAGGCTTAACTCAGCCCAGTAGACAGAGCTGCATTTTGCTCCTCTGCTGTCCCTGAAATGGATACTTCTTTCTTCACTGGAAGAAAGAAATTGGTAGTGCCTTGTGCAGAGAAACGCTTGGCAAATTGTGGAACTTCTGGTTTCTTTTCCCAGGCTCGTCAAAATGTAAATCATCTTTCCTTCTACAGGCAAGGAAGCATAACCCTGGAGCACAAGGTCACCTGCGCTTCCCTTCACTGGCCTCACCACCCCACCCTCCTCTCACTGCCATTTTCTTCATTCTCATTCTCTCTCTCTCATTCTCTCTCTCTCTCTCTCTCTCTCTCTCTCGCTCTCTCTCTCTCGCTCTCTCTCTCTCTCTCTCTCTCTCTCTCGCTCTCTCTCTCTCGCTCTCTCTCTCTCTCTCTCTCTCTCTCTCGCTCTCTCTCTCTCTCTCTCTCTCTCTCTCCCTCCCTCCCTTCACCTGGAGCTTGAAGGCAATGGCCAAACTCTTACATTTTTAAAGCAAGAATTCAAAGCTTGTCTGAGTTCAAATAATTTCTTGGTACTAAAAGGAGATTTTCATGCCTTCCACGGTGGAACAAATATTACAAGATATAACAAAAAAAAAAAAAGAAAAAGGAACCTGGACTCAGCCAAAGAAGCAGAATCTGAACATTCATGTTGTGTCTCCAGGAACTGCCAAATTCATCGCCTTTCTCTGAGAACCGCTATGCAGAGCTTTGAGTGACAGGAAGTATGGCACAAGCCACGATTTAAATTCTGCTTGCCTCATTCTTTGCATAGACAGCAACGGGCTGATAGAATGAAACTAAAAAACATAATTCAGATGGGAAAATACATGATTTTCCCAGAAAGGGAGGAGGACAGGGACATGGCTTAATATAGCCAGCAGAGGGCGCGGCTTACACATATAAGTATGAACAAACCTTCCCTAGGAGCTGTAAGGGATCCTGCGGTTTTTGTTACAGATTTCACGTTTTCAAATAAACCGCATCCTAGCTCCCATTGACTGGACTCTAATATAGTATAGTCACACAGTTCTCGCCTCATGATTAAATAAGACTATGCTACAGCCCCTTCGGCCACTCAAACTGCCACTCTTCTGCTCCTGGCTCTGGCATGGGAAAGAAAGTGGACATAAACTCCCTCAAAGGACGGCTTCCCAGAAAGAGTGACCTGTATTCCCAAGCAGCCTTCATTTGTTTAAGAGACTTGCACCTAGAATTTCTTGATCAAAGCTAATGTGCTGTAAATTTCTTCATTTAACAGACTTAGTCTGTTCAACTCTTGACACTGGGAATTGGGATTTCCCAGAACTATTAGCACTGCACAGTAGGCGTTCCATGCCAGCCAAGAACCGGGGATTAACAGGTATTTGTCTCAGCTAATTTCACTCTCTATACCAGCTCTATAGAGACTAGGGCTTCTTGGCGGAGTGTGTGCCACCCTGCTAATTGGCTACGAATGTAACTACTCCTGCATGCCAATGGAGCTGGGCCTTGGGGCTCGAGGCAAAAGATCCTTATGATAGACATATATTTGAGGAAAGTTGAGAATCAGTTGGTGGCACAGTAAATGTAAATGACTTCTTTGGCAACCTCTACCTTTTGCTGTCTATCAAAGGCTCATCCCTATAGATCGTGTGGTGATGGTTTGTTGTTTAAAAAAAAAAATACTCATACTCACAATCAATGTCAGTTACATCCTCAAAATCCTGTAGTAACAAAGAATTTCCACATGCAAAATCTTGTAGTAACAGATATGCCCTTACAATCTATTCTGAATGCACCTGAAGAATTATAAGGCTTATAGCTAGGTAGCTTCCACAAGACACCCAATTCCCTGAGTCAAAGAAAAACCTTCTAGCTATCAGGATAGGATCAGAATACAAGAATTCTTTCTGGAACAAAGATTGTACCCCAAAAGGAAAGTTGTTAGTTCTTTTCCACAGTCCTATTCTTCTGCTCCTTGCTAATAATTAGTCTCCTACTTCTAAAGCTTGTGAAATGGGAATTGAAGAGCCAAATATTAAATGATATGTGTATTCATTATGTGTCGTTATATGTAATACATTCTGGGAAGTGGAGCAGCTGAAAATGACAAACAGTTATTACGTTTCTACGATCCATCAGCTGCAATCCAAGAGCAGCTAAGCTGGTGGCAGGGTTTCAGTACCTCATGAGGCTGCAATCAGAGGGATGGCCAGAGATGAAGTTATTCAAGAGTCCAACTACTGGAGAATTTACTTCCAAGATCATTCACATGGCTGGTGGTTAAGACACAAAAGATCTGTTTCGAAGCTCACTAGTGGGAGCCTCTCTACATGGTTGCCTCCTATGCTGTGGATTGAATGTTTGTGTCATTATGTCCTATGTTGAAGCCCTAACCCCTGTACAACTGTTTTGGTGAGAAGGCCTCTAAAGAAGTAAAGTTAAGTGGGTGACAGGGTAGAGCCCAGAGCTGATAAGATTTTAATGTCCTTATAAGAAAGGATACTGAAGAGTCTCTCTCTCTCTTTCTCTCTCTCTCTCTCTCTCTCTCTCTCTCTCTCTCTCCTTCTCTCACCATTTCCACTTCCTTCTCTCTCCCCCTCTTTCTCTCCCTTCCTCTCTCCCCCTTCCTTCTTCCTCCTTATAGAACACAGAAAAAGAAAAGATCCTACAAGATGGCAGTCACCTACAACCCTTACCAGAAAACAAACTGGTTGTCACCTTGACCTGGAACTTCCAGCCTCCAAAACTACGAGAAAGCTAACTGCCTAGTCTGTTGTATTTTGTTAAAGCATCCTGAGCTGACTAATACATCTGAAAATGAGCAGTACAAGAGAGTGTGCCCAAGACAGAAAGTCATAATCTTTTTCTAGCTTAGCATTGCAAGTTAGTAACCCATTGCTCCTGCCATATTCTGTTCACTGTAAGTCAATAAACTTAGCCCATATTTCAAGGGTAGGGGATTATTCAATGCCATGAATACTATAAGGCAGAAATCGTTTCTAAGTGTGTTTGCTTTACCATGACAACTGGTAGTGGCTTCATTGTCATTTAGCCTGGGGGTGCACAGAAGTAAACTAAAAGTCATCTCACTTTTATTCTTACATCTGTAATAATACTTAATTAGAAACTTCCTCAAGATGAGCATTGAGGGTATAGGAAAAGCAAATAGCAGGATGAGTTTTTTAATGTCGGCTTTACTCTAGCTTGTAGAAACATTTTCAACAGATGGCCCCCAAATTTTCTCTATTGTGTGCATTAAGATGACATCAAGTCACATAAAATATCTTTAGTATTTCTATTATGACAAACTAAGTGTCCAGTGTTTCATATGTATTTTATAGCATTATTCCATTTTTAATTTTTGTTTGGTATCTAATATAGTTCTACCATGATAGAATACTGAAACACTAATATTCTAGTTAAAGGTTTGCTATTTGAGGTAATAGGAACACCCCAATAGTAGCAGAGAGGTCAAAATAACCTTTCAAATAAACAATAGCTATAATTAAATTCTGGCCATAACAAAAGAATGAAAAAAGTTCCCCAAAAAGAAACTGAAATTGACCAGTGACTGTTGCAGAACTGGGAACAGGAAACAGATTCTACTGACGTACAGTCCTTTGGCCTTCCAGTGTCATTAACATAAAAATCATTAGCACTATGCAAATCAGTAACACAATCAAGAGTCCCATAGTAATTTCAATTTCCACATCTGCAGAGAGATCTAGTCTAGTTAGTTGTACAGATAGAGCTTCCGGAAATTTTGATTAATTACAAGAAAACATGATAGTCACAAGAAAAAACTTGCAGTTAATCCAAGTTCAGTTAGTCAAGGTTACAACTTTGTGTAGGGAGAATTCAATTCTACAGCAGCTGCTACACCCCTGACTACAGGCAATAATCTCATAAAACTAGGACACTGGGTAAGACAGGCAGAGTGAGGGGTTTGACTCCTCTAGTATTCTTACTGAAAAGTAACTCCACAGAGTAGGAGTGGTCCAGTTGAAATAAATTGAGGAAGGGGACAGTCACAGCCTTCTGTGCTATCAAATACCAATACCATCTCAACCATGGTGAGTCACACGGCAAAATCACATTTAAGAGAGAAAAGAAATCTTTTTTGGTTTTTTTGAGACAGGGTTTCACTCTGGCTTTGGAGCCTATCCTGGCACTCCTTCTCGAACTCATAGAGATCCGCCTGCCTCTGCCTCCTGAGTGATGGGATTAAAGGCGTGAGCCACCAACATCCGACCGAAAAGAAATCTTTTTTAATTTGCATCTATCATCTAATATTTGTATGTGACCCTCAAATTTTACATTGGGGGGATGGAAACTAAAACAGTATAGTCCATTTTGTAAAACATTATTAAATAAGATTAAAATAAAATCGAAAATATTTTCCTCCTAGTTTTTCCCTTTTAATTAGTTTTCCTTTAATTATAAAACAATAAAAGATTTCTAGGAAGTTGCAAAGAGTTGCAGTCTGGTACACTCTATCTCAATGGTTGCATCCTATATAACTATAATAATATTAAAAGCAGAAAGCAGACATTGGTTTAACATACATCTATAGCAGTGGTTGTCAACCTGTGGGTCACAACCCTTTGGGGTCAGATGACCCTTACAGAGTAGCAAAATTACAGTTATGAAATAGCAGTGAAATAATTTTACAGTTGGGGTCACCACAACATGAGGAACAGTGTTAAAGGTTAGGAAGGTTGAGAACCACTGCTCTCTAGCTTTGTGCAATCTTATCACATCTGTCAATTCATACAAACATTCTGAAATCAAGACACAATTTGTTCCATCACCACAAAGATCCCCACCGTGTTCCCTTTTAGAGTCCTAGCCATTCACTCTTCCCAGTCCTTGGCAGTCACTAAATTTGCTTTCCATTAATTTCAGTGTCCTTTTAAAATTTTTTAAAATTAAAATATATAACATCACTCCTTCTTTTTCCTCCCTCCAGCCCTTTCCATGCTCCCTTCAGTCCCTCTCAAATTCATGGCCCCTTTTTCTTTCATTGTTGTTGTTACTTGGTGTCATTTTGTTGTATAGAAGGGTAGGGAGAGGGCTTAGTGGTTAAGAGTATTTCCTGCTCTTGCAAGGACACAGGCTCAGTTCCAAGCAATCTCTCTCTCTCTCCGTAACACACAATGATAATGATAATAATAATGTTACTAATAATAATAATAATAAGTCTTTAAGAATGTTTTATAGGGGCTGGAGAGATGGCTCAGCAGTTAACAGCACTGGCTGTTCTTCCAAAGGACCCAGGTTCAATTCGCAGCACCCACATGGCATCTGACAACTTTTATCTGTAACTCCAGTTCCAGGGGATCTGATACCTTCCCACCAACACATAAAATAAAGTAAATAAATTTTAAAAAGAATGTTTTAAATAAATATGTACATATAGAATTATACAATATGTGACCCTTTTAAAGTATCTTTTGTTACTTAGAATAATGTCCTATGAAGTTATAGAATGCATCAAGTTTTAGCATTTGCTCTAAGTATTACATGCTCTGAGTATTACATTCATAACTTACTGGTCTATTAGTGCTGAAATTTCACCAATTGAAGTGAAATCTAGAAACTACCCCCCTTTAAGTCCCTTTATCATGTAGTACTCATGATATAATTATAATTATATTTTCTTTAATACATTAAGAATCATATAAAAAATTTCCATACTTTTTGCTTTAACTGTCAAATAGACTTAATAAGACTCAACAGGAGAAAGGAAATCTATTATACATTTATATATTTTTATTCTTTTCTTCCTTCCTGATACTTTAAGATCCTTTCACT